CGAGAATACGTAAATTCCCCTATATAAATATTTTTTTATTTATATTTTTTATGTTAAAAAAAAACATTACCCAAATTCCCAAATATCTCAAAACCTTTCCCGATTTTTTTTAAATTTTATTGTCAAGAAATGGCCTATGGAAAATGTAAACTATTATGAATGTTCAAAACTATGGACCCTTAAAAACTGATAAGCATCGTAGAACAAATATTGTTAGTAGTTATTTCTGAGTAGTTTTTCACAGAAATGATTCAAAATGTCTCAAGCGTTGGTTTCTGAGAGTAAATAACATGAAAAAAATATTTTAACAAAAAGTTCAAAAAATTTACCAACAGTTCTTGTTCTACGCTTTTTGTTAATTTTCAAGCATTCATAATTTAAAACATTGCACAAGTTTGCATTTCTTGTGTGCCTCTTATAATAAAAACTCTCAAAAATCGGACCAGGACATTTTGAAATATTTAAGTATTAAACATGTTTTAAAAAAAAAATATTGAAAATTACTAAAAAAAAAATTTCCCAGATAAACATTTATAAACTTAATCTCAGACGTAATTTCGATCAGAACTGCTGTTTCTGTGATACATTTTTTTGAAATTTCAGAGACATCATTTTGAAAATTTTACAATATCCAAAATGGCCGAATTTTATCAAAAATGTGAATCATTGCCCATAACAAACAATTATTCAAGGTTTCATGCAAATCGAAGCAAGATGGAGTTTTTCCGATTCATCATTTAGCACCTGCTCTTCCTTTCATATTAAAGAGGTGTATTTTGCGAAACTTGTCGTCGTTGGTGCCAGTTTGAATGGTTACAACAACTCGAGTAAAGGTATGATGTGATATGAAGGGTTCGGTGGCCTTAGAGCGATCGTTTTTGCTTACTGAGCAGAACATTATGAATCTAATCTCAGGCCCTGAAGTGCGTGTTAACCAGCTCTTCTATTGTCGGCAACTCGAAATTAGTCGTAATTTGTAGTGCGTATGTTTCATTTTCATTTGCAACTCACTCTCAAAAATCCATTTTTGAACCGATTATTGATCCATTAGCCTCAAATAAAAGATGAATGTTCCTAGAATGGCACCCTGCCCAGGCTTTTGCCAATTTGGCCATTTAGACTACCTGGCACCGCTTCCGATAGGACACTAAAGGACACTTCCAAAACCTCATCTACTGGTACCGTCCGACGCTCAAAATTTATTATTTTTCAACCTGAAGTAAATGGACATCATGCAGATTGGAGATTGGAGAAATCTTGGGGAGGGTGCCATTTTAGGCACATTTATCTTTCTTTTGAGACCAATAGATCAAGAATCGGTTCAAAAATAGATTTCTGGGAGCGAGCTGCAGTCTACAAAGGACTACAAAATTGGTTCAAGTGCCTAAGGACAAAACTCCATATCTCGATGTGATACATCGCAATTTCTTTAAAGGAAGTTTAACTGTACCAAGTCATTTGTTTTAACTTCTACCATATATCGATACCGTCCGCATGTTGGTCGACACATAATAGCCGGTACACGATGTTAGACATACGGTCGTTAGGCATACGGACGTTAGGCATAATGCACGATAGGCATAACGGACGTTAGGCATAATGCACGATAGGCATAATCTACCCGATGAATCCCAGAAGGATGATAATGGGGACCGTCTATTGATTGCTGACATCGGTGACAATAATGAAGGAGCCTTAATTTTTGGGACTCATGAAAACTTGCGACGTCTTGGACAGGCAAAGTATTGGCTTGCAGATGGTACGTTTGCCACAGTTTCTTGTTTGTTTCGGCAACTCATCACTGTTCATGGAAGTATCGCTCCCTCACATCAGCAGACAACAAAAACGGAGTCGTTGTATCGAAAAGTATGGGAGGTAATCCTGGAAGCAGCAGGTATGTTTTTTATTATTTAATGAAAAACCACAGAGTTCACCATTTTTCATTTCATGAGGTTTTCTTTGGCATCATCTTTTATTCAACCTTAGCTGTTTTTTTTTGTTATTGAATGAAAAATCACAGAATTCGCCATTCATTATTTCATGAGCTATTCTTTGAGGAAAAGCTTCTCTTCTTTGACAATTTCAATATGTGTGTAAGAATATATTACAACAAATGTGTGATTTTTTTTATTTCCAGCTGCGATTTGTTTCAAGATATAGTTCAAAACAATGCTGAGTTTTTATTGACAGATTACTTAACCGGTATCACTACTAATCTTGAATCTAAGTAAATATGTAGCTACGTCACTTATGATATGATAAATAATGGATTCCAAACTGTGCTTATTAAATAAACTATGTTTGTATAACTTGTATCATCTTTTATTTAACACTTAGTCTAATTTAAGCATTGTTTACCATGCTCGAAACAGGTTTCTATAGTTGCACAGCAGCAAGGTATTTTATGCCTAACGTCCATTATACCTAACGTATATTATGCCTAACGTCCATTATGCCTTATGACTTTATGCCAAACGTCCGTATGCCTAACGTCCGTATGCCTAACGTCCGTATGCCTAACGTCTGTATGCCTAACGTCCATATGCCTAACGTCCGTATGCCTAACGTCCGTATGCCTAACGTCCGTATGCCTAACGTCCGTATGCTTAACGTCCGTATGCCTAACGTCCGTATGCCTAACGTCCGTATGCCTAACGTCCGTATGCCTAACGTCCGTATGCCTAACGTATTTATGCCTAATGGGGTACACTTCATAATAGCAGAGGTAAAAAAATGAGTAGCACTGTTTTTGGAAAAAAAAAATCGGTTTGGAATCAGGAATGTACGTTTTATTTTTAATTAAAATACCAGCACATCCCGATTAGCAAATTTCTAGATTTTTTTCCGGCATATTTCTGATTTTTTTTAAATTTTTGCGGTTGTGTGATGTACATTTAAATTATGTGTAAAACCAAATGCAATTAAATAGGGCATTACAAAGAAGGCTATATTTTTCCTGTATATTGAATTCCATTGCATTATTGGATATTAAACACCATTCGAAAGAAGCAGAATATTATTTGATTATTTATTTTAACCAAAAATAATATACACTTATACATTATGGATGACCCACAATTATGGGTCTCTTGCATTTGATTAACACACTAGGCAGACTGTTCCATAATTGTTTTTTGATGATCCATCATTGACTTTTAAAAAAATGATCAAAGATTGAATTGTAGAGAGTAATTTGAGATTGCATAAACAAACATCAAAAAAATAAAAATTTCATCGAACAATGTTTCGGCCATATCTTTGCGGAACCAGTGGACCCATTCCTAAAATATGGAATAGCTTTTTATTAAACCATGGTACCTTTCAATTGAAGGTTCACAAAAAATCATAGCATACTTGCTTAGTCTTCGCACCAATAATGTTTTATTCTAATTTGGGAGGCATCTGGATGAAATTTATCTGCTTTGGGATGAAATGCATCTACTGAGATTTCATTCAGTGTATACACGACATTTTTTTAGATAGTATAACTTTATTCATGTAAAACTGACCATTTTTAGATGTATGAATAAGTGTCACATTTAATAAACCAGAATCAAATTGTTCAAAAATAAAATATTTTTAACATAATTTTCTACAAATCACTCTGGCCCACATTTTGTCTTAGTTATATTTTTTCGTAGAAAAAGTTCTCCCATGTTCAAATGGTAGTCTAGATTTTCTCAAGGAAAATAAGTATGCTAAGTTGTTTAAGTAGACGAAACCTTTGCATCCACAATGTTTCATTGGATTCTGAGAGGCTGCTGCCTTCCACTTCCAAAGCTGCTTGAATTTGTGTGAAAAACAAAATGGTACTATTTGCCCAAGGAAACCCAGACAACGCCGAAAGGTTTTTTTAGGCTGGACCGGGAATTGAACCCGCTGAATTCGGCGTGGCAAAATCGCACCTGACTAGACTCTGCATCGACTGCCTTTCACTACGTGAAAAACAAACAGTGTTCTGTTATCGAACACTGGGTGCATTTATTTGTTAGTGAATTGTGAATGTTAAAGGTTCAATTTTCATTTAAAAAATTTAAATTTTATGTTTGAACCAAAGTTTTGTTGAAATGAGAATTACATTTATGAAGCATTTGTATGCAGTTTTAATTCAGCAACAAAAACAATATCGTATTACTACGTTAATAATGTGGTTGTCGTTATATTTTTTTTTGCTCCAGAACGTAAAATAAATCCACACCCAGTATTAAAATCCATTCAAAAGAGGTACCGTCAGATCCAGTTTCATTGAATTTCCCACTTTAATTATGCGGGCCAAAATGAAATAAAAAAGATACTTCTACCCAGTAATTTCCCGTTTGACACTCGCCGTCCATTAGGGGCGCATTTTCGTGATAGCAGCAGGTGGTAATTTGCAGTCCGCTTTGATGGTGGCCTCCACGCACAATGTTTGTCCGAAACGGCCATCATTACCTGTGCCCATTGGCGAACACATTGGCCTGACCTTCCGAATGACTAGAAACGTGAATCCTGGATATCGAAATCCCTAATGTAATAACACCTTCCTACCAGCATGGGAAGGCAAACATGGCCATTCATCGGAGATTTATAGCACCATGAATAAATGTCGATAGTTGCGAGCACTGATTACACGTGTACGTGCAGGGATCAAAACCAGGGTATATATTACGTTTAGTAAAATATTGTTCCTTTCTCCGTGTTTAACCAATAACTGATATTGCACCAAATCCTGCTGAATGTGATACGATCGAATGGTAGAATGTTAGAACGTGTTTCCAACATTGATAAGGAGAGTAGGTATACATTTTCCACGGTCGACCGGAGCTAAAGAACTGCAACAAGTGTATAATTACTAACACTTTCATGTGCATACATTTTTATCAATTCCTGGTACCAATATGTCGTAGCCATACAAGCACAACGTTTATCAATATGTTGCACACTCAATTAATCGATTCCGCTGAAATCGTTTTCTCATCTCTCCTGCGGGAAATTCTAGCGAAAAACAAATTGATCTTTACCTAACCCGAAGTGAGCTTTGACGCCCCCGAGGTTCCGCACTCGAAACAGGCCGGATTTTTTGAACGCACAGTTTAGTATGAAACCAAAGTCGGAATCTAACACACAGGTACTTTCTAACTGTCTGATTGTGCCTAGAAACGGGGAAGAGAGAAAGAGAGAGAGAGAAAGAAATGAGAAATAATAAGGATCACTTGGTTTGGTTTGTTGTTAGCGGTCTTACTAAGAACAACCCGCTGCCTCCAGGATGTATATGTGTGCCTCCCAATACCTGGTGTTTTTTGGTGGTGGTGGTGTAGTTGTGTTGGTGGTGGTGGTGGTGGTAGGTTAGCTTGGTGATGAAGATGGGTGCATGTTAGGGGGTTGCATTATTCGCCGAAATTCTGTTTCTAGCTTTTCAACCTCTCAAACCCTGGAATATCTGAGGCTTTTACAGTGTGTTGCTTTACGAGATGCCCGATTTAATAGAAGATTTGGTTACTGTGCGATCCGCAATTCAAAATTTCAGTTAAGAATACCATATTGTCTCTTAAACCGTTTCAAAAATAAACAAATAAGGTATTCCACTGTCTCTGAGTCACTCTAAATAAGACTTAAACTTAGGGTACTTTGCCAATTGTTGAACAGCTAAGCGCGTGCTTTTTGTTAATTTGTGATTTTATGAGATTGAAAACATTTTTGAAGTAGGAATTCCTCAATTCATGAGGCATTTCCAGAGGTGATAAGCAATTTATATTGGTAAAAACATTCAGTATAACGCAACTTTTGAATGTGCTTCAGAGCCCAATTGGTGCACTTATCATTTGCTTTGAAATTCTATTATTGCACACTTTGTATCTAATTATTTCACACCCATAAAATATGGCTAAATGCATCTTGGAATGAAATTTTTAAGCAAGAATAATTGTTCAGTTAATCTGTAAGATGGTTAAACATAACTTTTCAATATATTGTGCTTACAATATCAGTAATTTTATTGATTTTATTGAACCAATCAATAATCGAAGCAAAACATACACCGCTCCTGTTTTACATGAAACGTTGAATAGCTTTTGTATAACGCATATAGAAAATAATCCAGGACCAAAAGTCCAAAGGTGATCCAATCTTTGAACAATACTATTTTGTCTGAAATTTTACATAATTGATAGATGGATTTAGGTTGATCATTAGATAAAAAAAATAACCAACATATTCCTGTAAAGATTACTTAATTTAATTTAATTTAAAGCTAGTCATAGCGTATTTCACAACTACCCTATTACCCTTATTAGTTCACAAATAACCCGATACAATGCAACATGTGCAATGTTCAGAATGCTTCCTATAATTCAATTTTATTTGCCGCTAATAGCTTCAAAAGCTTCCAACTAACATATTTCAAATGTGATTCCCTATTCCCGAACCCTATAAGATAAGGTTCAGACGAACTTAAATTGGTCCAGAATATGAATTAGAACTGCACCGTCGTTATAAAATTCCTACTTTTTACTATTCGATGCTTTTTGCTCATGTATGTTTTGAAATATATCAAATAGCTTAATACCCTTTTATCATTCGGTAACATCGGTTACGGATGACCTGACTGTTTATTGAAAACACTCAATTCTCGCGTAAAAAAAATTGAGTGAAAATTATTATGAATTTTTGGCGGCCATATTAAAATTAGAAATCCAATATGGCGATTTTTTTGAAGTCATAATTTTTCATAAGCTTACCCTCACCAAAGCAAAGATTTTTTTTTCTTAAAGATACATATCAAATTAAGATAGAGAAATTTGGCGATCGCAAGGAATTAGAAGAAAAAGAAAAAGGAGGTAATATGATCCCGTACAATTTGTGATGATTCTTATTATTTTCTTCTGTTTCCTTACGAAAAACGAAGTGCTCCATCATAATTTGAAATATCTTAAAGGAAAAAGTCACAGCTTTCAAATGCGTGCTTAGTTTTTAATTTGGTGAAAAGCTCCAATATGGCGACTACTTTGAATATGGCCGCCAAACATTTGAAAACAGGCCAAATGAAAGCCCTGTCGTTTTCCTTTCGAATGATCCGCAAGAATGATTAGAGATATATTTATTTAAATCATCCAAGAATTTGCAAAACATGATTCGAAAATCATGTGTGACTAAAAAACGCCTGAATATAGTAACTTGCTGTAAAAATGTAGACTGTAAGAAGATCTAAAAGTCTTCCTTTCACTAGTTTTTGACGAAATGTGAGACACCCTAAATAAAAGCAGAAAAATACTTCTAGCATGAGTCAAATGAAGATCTAGATTAATGCAGTCTTGAGCAAAGTTGCTTTTAATAATTGTTTCTACAACATTGCTGAAGAATGTAACCACTTAAAATAAAATAACATAATACACTTAGTTTCCTGATTTAAATTAAAACGAGAACTACCCCAATCATCATTTTTATAAAAAAGAAAACCAATTTAATAATAAAGAACTCCCTCGATAAGTCTCATCGTCGCCCACTGGTCACCATAGCCGGTCGAACTCCAGACGAATCTAGAACGACACTACCGTTCATACTGGTGACATCGCTCTGATGAGACAACGAAACCTCACCCCCAAGCTCCTCCCCTTTTCCTATCCTTCGACAATGTATCCCACTAACTTCGGGTAAGCCGCGAGTATTCGGCCCAGCTCCTACTAGACATAGAATTAAGTGAAATTTGTTACAAACAAAAAACAGTGAACTATCGGCTCCGTAAAGCTAACGCGATTGAGTCTTACAAACCATTAACCACCTAAAAGTAATCGAAACAGAGTAAATTATGCTTTTCCACTAAATTGCCTTTCCTTGCACCCAGAAATTGCAACTCTACCAGCGTCTTATGTGAAGCTGTTGCTTATAATAAGGCCTTTATGTTGATGAAAGTAGCAAATAGGGTGGACCATAAATTGACAAAAACAATTTTTTAACTCGTTCATTTCTTATTATACCATGATAGAACCATCTACAAAGTTATAGATTACGTATTTAAAAAAAAATACTTTGCCGAGGAAACTAATGGTCGTAAAGCTTATGCTGATTTTTCAATAGTGAACCAAAGTAAGGGGTCACTAAAAAAATACTTTTTAGAAAATAACCTACATGAAGGTTGTCTTATATTTCTAATCATTAAATTGCATATTTGTAATGCTGAAGGAAGTGCCTCGTTTAATCCTTTGATAAAAAAAAGCTAATCAAACTTTCTCCAAAAATAAAATCATTTTCAATTGTTGATACCCTCAGTTGGGGGAACGGGGATACACTTCTTGCAGCAAACGAAAGGTGAAATTTTAATGCATATATTTTTTGATGAGTAGAAAAAAGTTGTAGAAGACTATTTTCGCGCACAAATTTAAATAAAAGAGTTATTCTATAAAAACAATATTTTAGGGACACTCTACCTTAAATCATAAAAACTGCTATATAAGCTTTTATAAAGCTTCCCCACTACAGTTTCTTTAGCAAAGTTTCTTAAAATAACGTCACTATAGGGAGGAAGGGGGTAATATTTTGCTCGATTTAGCGTGACATAATTAATGCATGGGCCCTAGGCAGTGGATTTTTTCACCATTTTCGCAACAACAATAGCACTTTTTTTTTTTTAATTATAGTCACTTTAACGCTCTTGGGTCATTCGTGACTTGTCCGGGGGTGAGATTTGAACTCGTGACTTTGGCGTGAGAGGTATGGATGCTAACCACTACGCCGGGGTCGCCCCCTAACAATAGCACTACCCATGTTCTTGCCATCAAGTATCGTTTCCCCCTAAATATCTTCTATATAAGCACATGTTCTTAGTCTTCAGGTATCGTTTACAAAAAAAAAATAGTAGGCGTAACATCATTCTTGTAAACCCCACATCCAAATAGAAATATTGTGACAATTTTTTAATGGATTTTAATTTTTTTCTATTACAAGATCAAAATAATGATTATAACAATGCACAGTAGTGCAGAAGTCGGTATTCAGGTGGAATAAATCGTTTGTGTCTAGAAAAATAGTTTTAGACAAATTGAGTCTTCGTGCAAAGTATTTTTTTATTTATTTCCTGGAAAAAAATCTGCGCGTTTTTAATTTTCTGAAAATAGTGGAGAAAGATATCAGAGTCTAACCGTATTTTTTTTTCGGAGCAATAAGCTTTCCGTTAAACAATTTTTTTTTTCTATATATAACTAGTTCGTTTATTTACTAGGCTCAGTTGTGTGTGACATTTTGCGGAGCCAAAAATCCGTTATTTTTTAATTAACATTTTAACAGCAGTAAATCTAGGTTAGTATTGGGTACGAATTACTCGTGGTGGGCTCGAGGTTAATGGGTAACAATTTCGATTGGAAGGAGCTAGATAGGAAACAGGTTTCTGAAGCCTCCTTCAGATACTACTATCGAGCGGTTGACCAAATGCTGGCTGGGCAGGGGAAGTAGCACAGAAACAGGAGGATAATAAGACTGGGACACAATGGCGGGAAATTGTTTGGAAAGAATGGGATGGTCACATCACACTCTAACATCAGACAAACAAAGGAATTCGTAGATCGCTTGCATGTAGGGATGTGTGTCTAGCGAGTAGTGGTTGAACATAAGTTTTGACCTCACGCGAATGAATCCCCGACTTACATCCAGACCTCCCAAGTAGCATTTCTTGTTTTATTGCACTCTATTAGTGGTTTTTGAGATTAATTTTATAAAACCGTCAATAAGGTTAATAGCTCCAGCAAAACCTTTTGATAACCGCTATAAGATCGTCTTCCAGCTTAGTGGACCACTCTTGATAAGGTTTATAAAGCATGTTTGAGAATCACAATGAAGCTGTCTTAAAACTTTTTGTAAGAAAGCCCCATACTCTACAAAAGGTTCTCATAGCCTCTTTAAGTGTAATATTGTATCCAAGCAGTTTTATTCCGCTTTGGTGAAAATCAGTTATAAATCCAATTTAATTTTTATTGCCTCAAAGCAACCGCCATAAATTAGTTTGTTGTTGTTCTGTTCTGCTGAAACTTTTTTTTTTCCATATGGAAATCTTTAGCGGTAAAAATAGGTTTGAGTGTTGGTTTCAAGATCACCATGCAATCAATTTTGTTTCATGGCGACATTCGTGGAAATCTTAAAGAAAATATATGACTTTTTAGAAGTT